CCCCGCCCACCACCCGGCCCCGCCCCGACGAAGGGCCGCCGGCGCGGAGGAGGGGAGCGAGGGTTGCCCCTCCCGCTTTTCATTCATTTTTTTCGGATACTTTTTCGGTACTAGAGGGGGTCCTGACTACCTCTCCTATTACTGTGTTCCAGCATTCCTTTCTGCGCCTCAAACGAGTTCCAGCCTCAGGTTCCTTGAATGCTCTTTCTAGATGGCCTCTTTTCTCCTTCTGGTCTCAGCTTGTGTCATCTGCTCAAAGCCCCTCCCTCACACCCAATCTAAAGCACTTCTCTCCGGTCACTGACTGATCAACCTGTTTTTTATTTCTAATACATCATGTGAAATTATTTTTTCTTGTTATTAACTTTTCCTCCTGAAAGATCAGATCATAAAAACAGAGATCCTGTCTATTTTGTTCTCTATAATACCCCAGCACCTAGCAGAATGCTCCCTGCACTGGTGCTCAATACTTTTTCTTCTGACCTGATGAATGAGTTAGTATTTCGGGGCGTTCACGGTAGAAGCTATTCTCTCTTAGAACCCCTGCTAAAATGCAGAGGTAGATGCTACACGCCCCAGGGCTCTTGAGGACAGAGAGGTAGGAAAGGCACATGGCTATGTGGAAGCAGGGTAGACCTGTGAGTACAGGAGGAGCACTGTGGGAAACCTTTACTTATGCATGAAAGAAGAAAGAATGAGTTATGTTCATACTTCATACCATTCTAATTCATATCCAAACAATGTTTATTAAGAGCCTAATATATGCCAGACACTTTCACATGCTTAACATATTTAATCCTCATGGCCACCTTGTAAGGGAAGTATCATCAGTGTCATTTGAACAAGTGAAAAACTGAGGCTCAGAGAGATTAAATAGCTTATCCAAAGCTCTCCAGACAATAAGTGCAAAAATAATAATTTGAATTCAAGACTGTTTGATTCCAAATCTGGAACTTTCTGGCACCTCTGACACACACACACACACACACACACACACACACACACACACACACAGACACACACACCCAGGTCCTGAGCTACTGCCTCCTTGACTCCTGTCAGGTTGTACCCTGAAGTCAGCTGGCTCTCCCTCAGGAGTTAGAGAGAAGTGTGGAAGGGAGTGACTAGAATCCAACCCAGGGCTTTCTTCTAATTCTCTCTTTCAGTCTAAGAATGTGAGCCTCAGCATAGTGGCTCACACCTGTAATCCTAGCACTTTGGGAAACCAAGGTGGGAGGATCATTTGAGGCCAGGAGGTTGAGACCAGCCTGAGCAACATAGTGAGACCTTGTCTCTACAAAACAAATAAACAAAACCAAAAGTGTGTGCTACACTGAGAAACGGGGCAAAAACACAACTGCACCTGACTCAGAAGGAGATAGGCAGAGGCCTTCAAGTTCAAGACAGATAGGGAGACCAAGATAATGTACCTTTCAGGCTCCTGGGGGTGAGGAAAGGACTTGAGTCAGGGGAAAGGGAAGGGAAGGAGAGATAAACCCATCTTGGAGTGTTGTACTTTGGCTGCTGGAGAACAACAGAAGAGACCAGAGACGAACAAGTCATTCCTCACAGGTCCCACATATGCACCTCTCAATCTAACGCCTCCCACCTTGGCCAGAAAGGACGGCTTCCTACTGAGATGCTGCCCTGTTCAGTCTGTCTTCTCAAGGTTTTTCCAGGACTTGCGGGTCTCCAGGAAGATCTTGACCAGGGACAGGAGGATGGGTACAGCCATAGGCAAGAAGAGCGGGATGTAGATGGCAAACTTCTGGTCATCAGGGAAATAGAGGAGGTGGAGGAGTGAGGGGTCAAAAAAGGCACGCTCAGAGGACATCACAGCTTCTTGGCTGGCAACGAAGGCAGATGCCAGGTGCCCAGAGGCCAACTCCTCTGCCGCCTTCTGGACTGCAGCTACAGCACTGTATACCTAGAAAGGAGGGGACAGGGGGTTACCAGTAAGTCCTAGGCATTAGCAGAGAGTGTGCTGGGTTTCACTGTGTCTTCCATTTACCAGGGAGGTTTCCTGGAGTTCACCAAAGACATATGCAAGTCAGTCTAAAGGGATATGGTTTATTCTCTTAGTTTTGGCTTGAAACTTCATATTCTGCTGGGCATGGTGGCTCATGCCTGTAATCTCAGCACTTTGGGAAGTGGAGGCCAAAGGACTGCCTAAGCCCTTGGCAAGACCTTGTCTCTACAATAAGCGGAAGGATCACCTGAGCCCAGCAGGTCAAGGTTGCAGTGTCTGTGAGCATGCTACTGCACTCCAGCCTGGGCAACAGAGTGAGATTCCTCCTCAAAAAAAAAAACAAAAACAAAGAAACTTCACATTTTTTCCCCCTAAGTCAGAGTCTCTACCACCCAGGCTGGAGTACAGTGGCATGATCAAGGCTACCACAACCTCGACTTGCTGGGCTCAGGCAATCCTTCCGTCAGCCTTCCAAGTAGCTGGGACTACTGGTATATACCACCATGCCTGGTTAATTTTTTTAATTGTAGAGATGAGGTCTCACCAAGTTGCTCAGGCTGGTCTCAAACCCCTGGGCTCAGGTAATACTCTCATCTCCACCTCCCAAAGTGCTGGGATTACAGGTGTGAGCCACCGTGCCTGATCAAACTTAATATTTTTGAAACCACCTACATAAAGTTATTATCTGGCCACAGGGTAAAAGCTGTAGAGGAGACCAGAGCCATGAAAAGCTGCAGTTATGGTTAGAATTTAACAAATTCGTTGTTTCTAAGTTTGCTTTCACTTCAGCAGAGGGCAATTGACCCCTGGGGAGAGGGGAAGTCGTACAGCAAGGCTGAACAACACATTTTCCCTTAAACAATGAGCCTAAGACTGCATATATCTCCTTAAAGAGAAGAGTAGAGGTTGAAGGACAAAAGTAGCTCCAGTCTTCAGAGATCCCACTTCCTGCATACCTCCCTCCTAAACTACTTCTACAATGGCTCACTGCCCAGGGGCTAGTAGTTGATGGTCATGGGACTTGTTTTATAGATACCATCTATTGCAAAACTTAAGAATAGTATTTGAGATATTTCTCAGATTCTGATGGATCCAAAGCCCTATCTGGACCCCAAACACATACCAGGACAGTCATATTTAGCTCTGCAAAATGAAGACTTTTGACATATCATCAAACAATCAGCAGTCCCTGGCCCACCAAATTCCACTTAGAAACTCTAGTCTTCACCAGGCACAGTGGCTCAAGCCTGTAATCCCAGTATTTTGGGAGACAAAGGCAAAAGGATTGCCTGAGCTCAGGGGTTCGAGACCAGCCTGGGCAACTTGGTGAGACTTCATCTCTACGATATATCAAAAAATTAGCCGGGCATGATAGTGTGCGCCTGTCGTTCCAGCTACTTGAAAGGCTAAGGCAGAAGGACCACCTGAGCCTAACAGGTCGACGCTGGGGTGGCTGTGAGCATGCCACTGCACTCCAGCCTAGGCAACAGAGTTAGAGACTCTGAATCAAAAACAAGAACAATAACAAAAAAACCCAAGAAACTCTAGCCTTTGAATTATTTCCTGCGCTCCTCACTCAGCTGTTTGGAGCAGTGTTTATTCTTCTGAGCAGTAGGCATAAGAACCTAATCAAGCTGTAACATTGTCATCTGGACTTTTGCTGGGGAGCTGGTGCTGCCTTCTAGAGGAAGTCCAGGGCACTTAAGGATGGTATGTCTGGATATACCCTAGACCTTAACTGGCTCTCTGGTCTTAACCACACCCAGTCCTTCACTGACCACTCTATGCTATAGAATCCACCCCCTGCCCACTTACCTCAGATGCCACATCGTCCTTGATGACAATGTTACTGATCTTGCCCAGAAGCTGTGCCAGGGAGGTGAGGGTGGTGGTAGCCGTGGCCAAGTTCTCCACTGACCGAGCCCAGAGCAACCGGTCTAGCTCCCAGGTCATTAGTCCTTCACTCTTAGGCCCCGAAAGCAGGCATTTTGGAGGCACCTGAGGCTGAGCAATTCCAAAGAGCAGCCTGTGGAAACAATGAAGTAAAATCAAGGTGGTTAGGAGCAGATGGTGGAAATGATGATAACTAAAATTCCTAAATTCCTAGAATATCTGCCATAAGCCAGTGATTTTCTTTCTTTTCTTTCTTTTTTTTTTTTTTTGAGTGGGAGTCTCATTCTGTCGCCCAAGGTGGAGTGCAGTGGCAGGCCTCGAACTGCTGGGCTCAAGTGACCCTTCTGCTTCAGCCTTCCAAGTAGCTGGAACTACAGGCATGTGCCACCATGCTCAGCTAATATTTTTTTTTGACTTATTATAGAGATGAAGTCTTGCCAAGTTGCCCAGGCTGGTCCCAAACCTGTGGGCTCAGGCAATCCCCTCACCTCAGTCTCTCGAAGTGCCGGGATTATAGGCGTGAGTCACTGCAGCCTGCCAGTGATTTTCAATCCTACCCAGAACCATAGGAGTTGTGAGGAAGTGCCTCAGGGTCTCAAGGAGTAAGTGGCAATACAAAGCAATCCAGAGCCCCAACCCCTACTTCAACCAGAGTGTTTCTGTTTTTGCCTGTTGCTATATTAGACTTCCAAGATCTTATTTGAAAAAAGGTTCCATGGCCAAAATACTTCCGATAACACCAAGTGAGTTCCCTTCGCCCTCTCTACCCTCTGTGGACAAATGGTGCCAATGGGACTTAGCGTTAAAGGATGATCCAGGACAGCCTTTGGCAAGGCACATGTGCCATGCTTCTCTAAGTTTACACTCATAACAGAAAACGCTGATCAATCAGAACTCTTTCCTAATGAGCCCAGATATAGCATTAGAATCCTTAACACAGCAAGTCTGGGCATAGTGGTTCATGCCTGTAATCCCAGCATTTTGGGAGGCCGAGGTGAGAAGACTGCTCGAGCTGAGGAGTTCAAGACCAGCCTGAGCAACATAGCAAGACCTCATCTCTAAAAAATGTAAAAAAAAGTTAGCAGGTGTGGTGGAGTACAATTGTAGTCCCAGTTACTTGGGAGGTTGAGGCAGGAGGACCGCTTGAGTTCAGGAGGTCAAGGCCACAGTGAGCCATGATCATGCCACTGCCCTCTGGTCTGAGTAACAGAGTAAGACCCCTGACTCAAAAAAAAAAATCCTCAACACAGAGCTTCAGACAGCCACTCTCAATTGATAAGTTAGCACAAGATTTAACAGCTATTTTCTTAAGTATCCCTAATTACATCTCATGGACATGACATCCATGAGTCTATTTTTCTTAAAACAGGTTTTGTCAGCTGCTAGCCCTTCTTAGGAGAAGGATGATGGGATCCTTGGAAGCCTTTCTTGGCTTCCTTGGGACACTAGGTACAGTCACGGTATTCCCACCAGGTGAAAGTTCACTCTGCTCTGCAACCCCCCTCTATAGTCAAGAAGAGTACGGTCAGACTCTTGGTGGCCATGTCTCCAAGTGGATCACCCAGGACCTCACCGCAGCTGAGCCAAGAACACCTCCATCACTCGCACCATGTCCACCTCAACTCTCACTGGCAGCTCCGAGGCATTATAGGCTTTGGAGTCAACATTATACACCTGAAAGGAAGAATGAGATTGCCACAGCATCATAATAGAACTGTGCACAGTTGTAGCCTAGGCACTATAGAGGTCATGAGAGAAAAGGAAAACAAATTCTCTGCTTTTTAGAAGCTACAAACCCAATGGTATAGCTATTTTTTTTGAGTACCTACTAGGAGGAGCTTTAAATAAATTATCCTAATTACCTCCTTGAAAGTTCTGTAAAATAGTTTTTTTCTTATCCCAGTCATTATAGTGAATGAGAATATTCACTCATGAGAAACTCCCCGTCTGACAGGGGAAACAACGTTCTCAACCTTGCAAGACTCCTACAAATAAGGTCAAGATTTGAGACAGACACAGAATTGTCCTAAGTAAATGCAAAAGGGCCATAGTACAGAAAACGCTGACAGAAATAAGAAAGAGTAGGGCTGGCAGAGGAGGAGCATCAGCACACAGCACCCCCACCTCCATGGTGCCTGCCCCACCCATATGCTGGGCCAGGAGGACACCAGAAGAAAAACAGAAGAAACATGTTTTCAGAGAATGCCTGTCTGTCCCAGAAGCCTGGGTTCTGGTGACTATTACCATGATGCCACCCCAGCGGGGACTGTGGAATGCGTTGGTGGCCACTGGAGCACCATCCTTGTCCTGAATGTACAAGGGGGAGTGGGCAAGCTCAGGCACGTAGAGTAGAAAGTTGAGCACAGGGTACAGGGAGGCAGCACTAGATCCTGTGGTATAAAGACAAGGGAAGGCAGAATACCAACACGTTGGACCCAGGCATTAAGCTCCAGCTCAGCCTCTAACCTGCTGGCCACTTGCTCTGGGACTCAGATTCCCCAACCAATAGTCACTGGGATATCCCCCAGTCCTGGGTTTCTGTGGTAAAATGCTTCTGAGTGTTCTCCCAAGAGGTATCACACAGATGGAATATAGTCGTTAGCCCTATAAGGCCCCTGAAATCTAAAACTCTCTAAAACACTCCCCTTGACAGTCTAGGACAGTTCTCTTGACCACTGCCATATTGCACCCACATTACTACAGATAGCTTTAAATCCTGGCACCTGCCTGCCTTGCCAGCCTCCTCTTTGGTCACTCGCATTTTAGCCACACTGCTCTGAGCTTCCTGAATGTTTACACGCTCTTACTCTTCTAGATCTACACTCATAGTTCTCTTCGCCTGAACTGCCTTTCTATCTCTATACTCAGCACTGACACAGGCAGTCCCTCAGCCAATGTTTGCTGACCGAATGAATGAATAAATGAATGAATAGAGGAGGAATTTGCTAATATCTCACATGCTACCCCTTCATAACCCTTGGCCCACAATGGCCTACCTCTGGTGTCTGCAATTCCAGTTAGTGATATACTCATTTGGCTTGCCTGTTTTACAGTTCTTAGTCATACCTATTCTTCCCAGGTTCCAGCCCCAAAATGACAAACTACAATCCTAGTTTCAAGGTTCTTTGACCTCAATCAGCAGAAGTGTCAATTCAAATTCTGCCTTTAATGTACTTTTGCTATTGCCCTTCCTAAGGTATCTTTCCCAGATGGCTCTCAGGGAGACAGATCCAGCTGAGCCATTCATTTGTAAAAAGTGCTGGGTATCATGTTTAATTAATGCTTTTGGCTATGATGGGTGTGAAGATGGAGATCTCAACAGAGCATCATGAAAAAAAAAAAAAACCTACGTCTTCCAGTCCCCTCAGACCAATCTAAGCTAGAAACCACCATGATATATAACCAGGCTCCAACCCCTGGCTGAGACATCAGGGTTCCTCCCTGGCCTGGCAGAAAGACCCTCATCCTCAGGAGCTCACCCAGTCGGGACTCCACTGGGTTGATGACATGGGGGAGGCTGTGTGTGTCCAAGTAGTAGCTGGAGGAAGTTGGGTCAAAGCGGGGATTTACCCCCAACATCGCGTAGTAAAGGATCTGTAGAGCAAAGAGGGAGAAGGTTATTTTGTTTATGATTTATATTCCACTTTCTCTGAAAAAATATTTTAGATGCTTTAAAAAGATACAATCAGGACAAAGCAAAATATGAGACAAAATCACGGCTCAGAGAAAACAAGTATAGGAAAAAAACCAGCAAAGCTAAGGGTAAAGTTAAAACACTGAATATGTGGCTTTGAAAACCATATAGTACCAGAAGTGGCGGCTCACACCTATAATTCCAGCACTTTTTGGGAGGCAGAGGTGAGAGGATTGCCTGAGTCTAGGGGTTCAAGACCACCCTGAGCAACTTGGTGAAACCTCATCTCTACAATAAATCAAAAAATTAGTCAGGTGTGGTGGTGTGCACCTGTAGTTACGGCTACTTGGAAGTCTGAGACAGAAAGACTGCCTTGAATCCAGCAGGTCAAGGCTGCAGTGGCTGTGGGCATAAGACTGCACTCTAGCCTGGGCAACACAGTGAGACTCCAACTCAAAAAAAAAAAAAGGAAAAAAAACTTCCACATATTTTACCATGTTTCCTAACAGCTTAAACAAAGAAGGAAACAAAGAACAGCATAATTCAGTGTCTACAGACTCAAATCAAGCCAGTTATTCAGAAGTAATTACTCCCACTGCCAAGACCTGACAAAAATTTCTCCCACATGTTTTTCCCTACAAGGACATAGTGCAATACAAAAAGCTACATTCTTCACATCTTTATTGTACTACATTAACATATTTCAGGAAGTTTAAAAAAAAAATTCGTGAAGGAGGACTGACGGCATTAACGTCTAGGCACAAGCCGGGCTCGGTGGCTCAGCCTGTAATCCCGCGCCTTTGGGAGGCGGAGGTGAGTGGACTGCCTGAGCCCGCGGGTTCGAGACCCGCCTGGGCAACTTGGCGAGACCTCACCTCTACAATAAATCAAAAAATCAGCCGGGCATGGTAGCGCACGCCTGTAGTTCCGGCTACTTGGAAGGCTGAGGCAGAAGGATCGCCGGAGCCCAGGAGGTCGAGGCTGCGGTGGCCAGGAGCGGCCACTGCACTCCAGTCTGGGTAACAGAGTGAGACTCCAACTCAAAAAAAAAAAAAACATCTAGGCACAACTGGTGAGTACAGTTTTAGGCAGAGCCACAGGGAAGGCAGTTGGTTAACAAGCACTGATGAAACTCCCTCAGAAGGACACAAAGAAGTAAATATACCAGAATCTGCCCTCAGTGGACAATGCACATGGATGGATACACACACACACACACACACACACACACACTCCAGTACCCATCCTTATGACACTCACTCACATACATACACTCACAAAGGAAATTCCTAGCAAATCAGCAAGCTGTAAGAAATGAAAGAACAGACTGACTTATAACTAATAGACAATAAATATGTATGGACTTTGAAAAGGACTCCACTCACTCCCAGTCTCACCTGAGAGTCCACAGAGAAGTTTCCAGCAGCACTGAGGGCATTCAAGAAGGGCTGCACATATTGCCGGACAGCCCCCTCGATATCCCAGTGAACGCTGTGGGACTTGGGGTCTGGGTTAAGTAAACTGAAGGTGATCTCGTAACCTATAGAAACAGGAGTCACAGGTTCAAGACCCGCCTGGGCAACTTGGCGAGACCTCATCTCTACAATAAATAAAAATGAGCCAGGCGTGGTAGCGCGTGCCTGTAGTTCCAGTTACTTGGAAGACTAAGGCGGAAGGATCGCTGGAGCCCAGAAGGTTGAGGCTGCAGTTGGCCGGGAGCGGCCACTGCACTCCAGTCTGGGTGACAGAGTGAGATTCCAACTCAAAAAAAAAAAAAGAAAAAAAGAAACAGGAATCAGGGAAGTCAGAAGCTCCTGTGAATCAATGTAGAAGGGCAGCCTATCCCCCTGGCAGAGCTGAACTTGTTTCTCCTCTGGAATGGGGGCTGGTTTCCATCATGGAACCAACAGGAGGATAAAACTGGGATGAGGATAAAACTGAGTGCATTAAGAAAAAGTTGCAGCCAGGCTCGGTGGCTCAGCCTGTAATCCCGCACCTTTGGGAGGCTGAGGTGAGTGGAATGCCTGAGCCCGCAGGTTCGAGACCTGCCTGGGCAGTGAGACCTCGTCTCTACAATAAATCAAAAAACCAGCCAGGCGTGGTAGCGCGTGCCTGTAGTTCCGGTTACTTGGAAGGCTGAGGCGGAAGGATCGCTGGAGCCCAGCAGGTTGAGGCTGCAGTGGCTGGGAGCGGCCACTGCACTCTAGTCTGGGTGACAGAGTGAGACTCCAACTAAAAAAAACAAAAAACAAAAAACAAAAAAAAAAAGAAAAAGTTGCTTCTGGAGAAGAAAGGAGTGAGAAGTTTCCATGCAGATTCCCATTCTACCCCATGGAATTCATGTCCTGTCCCCTCCTATGGCAAAGCCTGGTACTCTACCCAAGCTGGACTTGAGAGGCCGCCTCTTATCAGAGCTCCACTTGTCTTCTGGAAGGTGATCAGCCAGAGCAGCAGCAAGTACATCTTCAGTCAACGACATGGCCTGGGCCACCTGGATTATGCGGCGGCCAATGATGTTAAAAGCCTCCCGGTGCATTATCCCCCGCACAACTGCTGTCCTCTTGGGCCCAATGTAGCTCATCGTGTCCTGTGGGGGTGAGGAAGGGACAGAATGCCCATGCCTCAGAGAAGAAAGCCAAAAAGCACTCTGGCTCCTATCTTCGAGAATCTGGCCTTTTGCACCTGACCAACAGGCTTGCACATCTGAGATTCATAGTGAGCTAGTAGCAGCATTTCTGAGCTATAAGTACCCATGAGCGCTTTTACTCATTTCTGTTCCCATCTCTTTTCTGGTAGACACAGATAGATCTACAAAGAAGCTAAATCTTTTCAGGCTGGTAAAACGGTGAACTTGAAACTAAGAGATGGCAGAGCAAGAAAAACAGAATACACAAACTACTGGAAAATTTGATGTAAGAAAATGGTACGTGGCTGAGGAAGTACTAGAATGTTCACACTACCATCATTTCTAGCAGTAAAAAACTAGAAACAATCCAAGTGTCCTTTAGCAACAAAATGGATAAATTATGTTTATTCAATGATACACAGATTCAATTACACATATTATCATGGATGATTCTCTCACCTATAAATATTGGACAAAAAAAAAGTTGCAGAAAGACATATATTGTTTTATACCATTCATATAAATTTTAAAATATGTAAAATTAAATATATTGTTTATAGAGAGACAACATATGTGATCAAACTTTAAAGAAAAGCAAGAAAATGATAAGTGGTCATCTTGAACTAAACAGGGGTGGGATATAACCATGGAAATGCACAGGGTTCCAACCATGTCACTATACTGTAGCTTGTATGCTGGGGATGGGTATGTGAATATTCATTACAATTTTTCTTTTGGCTGGGTGTGGTGAGTCAGTCTGTAATCCTAGCACTTCGGGAGGCTAAGGCAAGAGGACTGCCTGAGCCCGGGGGTTCGAGACAAGCCTGGGCAACTTGGTGAGACCTCTACAATAAATCTATAATAAATCACAAAAACTAGCCAGACATTGTGGCATGCGTCTATAGTTCCAGCAACTTGAAAGGCTGAGACAGAAGGATCACCTAAGTCCAGCAGATCAAGGCTGCGGTGGCCGTGAGTGTGCCACTGTACTCTAGCCTGGGCGATAAGAGTAAGACTCCAACTCAAAAAATAAAAAATAAAATAAACTTTTTCTTTTGCTTTTTATAAGAATTAAGTATTTCATCGTAAGTTTAAAAAGAAAATGATGCCAGGCGTGGTAGTTTATGTTTGCAATTCCAGTACTTTAGAAGGCTGAGGTAGAAGGGTCACTTGAGGCCAGGAGTTCAAGACCAGACTGGACAACATAGTGAGATCCCATCTCTCCAAAAACAAAAATTAGTCAGGTGTGATGGTACACACCCGTCGTCCTAGCTACTTGGGAGGCTGAGGCAAGAGAATCACTTAAGCCTGGGAGTGAACTATGATCGTACCACTGCATTCCAGCCTGGGTGATGGAGCATGACTCTATCACTTTAAAAAAAAAATGGCCAGGCACCATGGCTTACACCTATAATCCCAGCACTTTGGGACACTGAGGTGAGAGGACTGCCTGAGCCCATGGGTTTGAAACCAGTCTGGACAACTTAGTGAGATCTCATCTCTACAATAAATCAAATAATTAGCTGGGTGTGGTGGCACGTGCCTGTAGTTCCAGCTACTTATAAGGCTGAAGTGGAAGGATCACCTGAGTCCAACAGGTCGAGGCTGCAGTAGCTGTGAGGGTGCCACTGTATTCTAGCCTGGGCAACAGAGTAAGACCCCGACTCAAAAAAAAAAAAAAAAGTTAAGACCAAAGAAGAAAGGAGTAAGGAGTTTGCATGCAGATTTCACAACCCATTGAAGGCATTTTTTTTTTCTTACTCTGTCACCCAGACTCGAGTGTAGTGGTGTGATCATGGCTCAATGAAGCCTCAACCTCCTGGGCTCAAGTGAATCTCCTGCCTCAGCCTCCTGAGCAGCTGGGACTACCGGTGTACAACACTATGGTGACTCATTTTTACATTTTTTGTAGAGATGGGGTCTTGCTGTGTTGCCCAGGGTGGTCTTAAACTCCTGGCCTCAAGTGATCCTTCTGCCTCAGTCTCCCAAAGCACTGGGATTATAGGCATGAGCCACCACATCCAGCCAGCTCTTTTTTTTTCAGCTTCTTTTTAATTCTACAGTTTTTTCCACTTTACATGGTCATTGGCACTTTAACCGCATACAAATCTTGAATTTACAAAGACCCAAAGTCCTTCAATTGGCCAGGCTCGGTGGTTCAGCCTGTAATCCCAGCACTTTGGGAGGCTGAGGCAAGTGGATTACCGAGCCCATGGGTTCAAGACTAGCCTGGGCAACTTGGAGAGACCTCGTCTCTATATAATACATCAAAAACTAGCCGGAGCCGGGCTTGGTGGTTCAGCCTATAATCCCACGCTTGGGAGGCTGAGGTAAGTGGATTGCCTGAGCCCGTGGGTTCGAGACCCGCCTGGGCAACTTGGCGAGACCTCATCTCTACCATAAATCAAAAATTAGCCAGGCGTGGTAGCACGTGCCTGTAGTTCCAGCTACTTGGGAGGCTGAGGCAGAAGGATAGCCGGAGCCCAGCAGGTCGAGTGCACTCCAGTCTGGGCAACAGAGTGAGACTCCAACTCAAAAAAAAAAAAAAAGAAAAAAGATTTGGAGAGTTTTCTATGGTAAATGGAAGAAATGGGCAGCAATGCTGCAAGAAGTGACCCAGGAGAGAATGAGCAGAAGGGATAAGGCAAGGCTACAGCCTCTCCGCTTTCCCTACCTGAGGAAGAAGTGAGGAGCGTTCAGAGATCACGTACATAGTCAGGGAGCCCTCCGCTTGTTCCTGGGGCACAGTTAACATAGCTTCTGCCTCTGAGGACAAGAACGGTAGTAAATCAGGTGCAAAACACCATTCCATCTCCCACTGGCCTCCACAGAATGTGTAAGCCACCCCTCTTATTCACTTAGCTGACACTGTGGTCAAGCCTGGGTAAGCTAATCAACCTCTCTCTGACCTTCAGTGGACCAGGCTAAAACCTACCATGTACCTCATTCCCAGTTTTGCCACAGAGGTTTTGGAAGTAAGACAAAGTATAGAAACTACACACTTAGAGAAAAGAAAAAAGAGGGCTTCTTGTTAAAATGGTGTGCTCACTCCTTCCCATACCTTGCACATTCCCTGATGACAAGGCCTCTTCTTCATGGTCAAAAGCCCTCCGATAGGCCTTCTGGAAACGGCATTTAATTTTCATTTTGTCTGAGAGGGAAAGAAAGTAGCATGATAAGAAGAGCAAGTATCAAGTATCAGACCTCTGTCCACCTTCCCTGCCCTAACACTGTCCAGCATCTGAGGACAGCAAGATGGTTGTCTGTAGAGAAAGACCAAACAGCTACAGTCAACTCTAATCATTTCTGCTTAGATGATATCAAACACATGGCACCCCACTTCTCCCAACTGCCCCAGCTCTTGCCTCTGCCTGTGCACACACTGGTCCTTCAGCCCGAAGTATCTTCCCACTGGGAAATCTCTTTCAATATTCATTACATTAATAGGAGAAAGGAGAAAAACCATATGGTCATCCCAACTGCTACCCCAAAATAATTAAATTCAGTGAACATTCCTGATAAAAAATAAACACATACTTAATAGCAAAATCCTAAATGCAATTCCATTAAAGTCAGTAATACAACAGAAATGCCTGCTATCTCATCTATTATTCTCATCATTATTCAGTATCATTCTTTCTGAAGTTCCTTACCAACATAACATGTAAAGAGAAATAAAACTTAAGGCCACTTTTTAAATAGTATAATTATTGTCCAAGAAAACCAAAGAGAAACAACTGAAAAACTATTAGAACTAGTAAAAGTTCAATTTATGATAACTAGATGTAAGAATATGTAAGAATCAAGAGCTGCATAAATACCAGCAATAGCCAATACAAAAAAATTTTTTAAAGTTCCAATTGTAATAATGATAAAAGTATAAAAATACCCAGGAATAAATGCATAAAACTATGAGAAGAAAACTTGAGGATTTTTCTGAAGAACATAAAAGAAGATCTGAATAACATGGAAAAAAGCATACAAGGTCCCTAGGTGGAAAGACTAAATTATAAGGATGTCAATTCTCCTCAAGGTAATCTATACGTTTAAGGCAATCCCAATGAGATTGGTTTTTTTTTTTTCTTTTTTTGCCCCGGAAGCTTCACAAACTGAACCTAAACAATTTTAAAGTTCCTCTTTATAGAAGAATTCCAGACAGAATAAATCACACGATTTTTTAAAAGCTATTTTATAACTGGTAACAAAATGGATTCCAGCAACAAACAGATACTAAAACTATCATGTGAAGGCTGATGGGGGCCTGGCTCGGTGGTTCAGCCTATAATCCCAGCACTTTGGGAGGCCAAGGTGAGAGGATTGCCTGAGTCCTGGGGTTTGAAACCAGCCCGGGCAACTTGGCAAGATCTTGTCTCTACAATAAATCAAAAATTAGCCAAGCGTGGTAGTGCATGCCTGTAGTTCCGACTACTTGAAGACTGAGGTGGAAGGACTGCTGGAGATCAGCAGGTTGACACTGGGGTGGCCATGAGCGTGCCACTGCACTCCAGTTTAGGCAACAGAGTGAGACTCCAACCAAAAAAAAAGCTGATGGGAAACTCTAAAATACAGCGATCAGGTTGATTATACCTGAACTCACTAAATAATCTTTGCATCACTCAAAGTGGAACAACCAGCCATTATATGCTTCATGATATAATATACACACCACCTATAAAGTATTCCTGCCTAAATAATTTTGAATCTGATTTTAACCAAACCTCTAGATCTAACCACTGGCTTATAAGAAATATGGATACTAGGCTGAGTGCAGTGGCTCATACCTGAAATTCCAACACTTTGGGAAGCCGAGGCAGAAAAATCACTTGAGCCTAGGAGTTAAGACCAGCCTGGGCAACACAGTGAGACGTCGTCTCTAAAAAATATATATATACAAAAAATTAGCCAGGTGTGACGAAGCATGCCTAGTCCCAGCTACTCAGGAAGCTGAGGCAGAAGAATTGCTTGAGCCCAGGAAGTTAAGGCTGTGGTGAGCCATGACTACACCACTGCACTCCAGGCTGAATGACGAAGTGAGACCCTGTCTCAAAAAAAAAAAAAAATATATATATATAGCCAGGCTCGGTGGCTCAGCCTGTAATCCCGTGCCTTTGGGAGGCTGAGGTGAGTGGATTGCCTGAGCCCGCGGGTTCAAGACCTGCCTGGGCAACTTGGCGAGACCTCATCTCTACAATAAAGCAAAAATTAGCCGGGTGTGGTAGCGCACGCCTGTAGTTCCAGCTACTCGGAAGGCTGAGGCGGAAGGATTGCCGGAGGCCAGCAGGTCAAAGCTGCGGCCACTGCACTCCAGTCTGGGTAACAGAGTGAGACTCCAAATCAAAAAAAAAAAAAATATATATATATATATATATATATATGGATATGAGGAATGAGTTCAATGAAGCCACGAGGAAGCAATTTGCCAAATCCCAAATGTAAGATGTTCTATAAAACTAATGACCTGAGAGGCTGGGTGCAGTGGCTCACACTTGTAGTCCCAGCACTTTTGGAAGGCTAAGGTGGGAGGACTGCTTGAGTTTTGAGACCAGCCTAGGTAACATAGTGAGACCCATCTCTAGAAAAAATTTTAAAAGTATCCAGATGTAGTGGCATATGCCTGTAGTCCCAGTTCTTCAGGAGGCTGAGGCAGAAGGATTGATTGCCTGAGCCCAGGAGGTTGAGGCTGCAGTGAGCTGTGATCATGCCACTGACTCCAGCCTGGGGGACAGAGTGAGACTCCAACTCAAAAATCAAACAAAAAAACTAATGACCTGGTTTATCCAACAAATCAACGGTATAAAAAGAAGTGTATGAGGATGGGGTGGGGGAAGCTGATATATAATAAGATGCAATGCACTGATCTTGATGAGAATAAACTAGCTGTGAAACTAACTGTGTTATCTTTGAGATAACTGGGGTGATCTAAATATTGACTGAGAATTAAGTGATATTAAAGAATTACTGATGCTGGGCTCGGTGGCTCAGCCTGTAATCCCAGCACTTTAGGAGGCTGAGGTGAGTGGATTGCCTGAGCCCGCGGGTTCGAGACC